GCTGATAATCCAGGAAAACAAATGCAAACATTTGTCGACGTCTAAAATTTCACGTTTTTAATTTTTTCAGTTACTAAGAATATGGGATGTAACTTTAAATGTTTGCAGCATTGCAGGCGGAGGCTTCATAACACGGTTGTGTTTAAATGCTGGATATGTTTTTAGAGACGAACCATTGGGTAATGGCAACCTGGTAGGTCATAGCCAATTTTATGAAATCAAATTGACGGATTTTTCACGCAAATTTCAACTTTGATGTTTGAAACGCCTTAAAATATTTTGACATTTAAGGCGTTCTGGGCGGAACTGCTCAGTGTCCCGTCCGATCAAAATGGATACGCTTCTTCATTCTTGCGAACTTGCCTTGCACGTGTGTTTCTAGTGGTAAAAGTGTTTGAAATGCATGTAAAACTTTAGCCGTCGATAAATGTTTTCCCCTGGATTATAAAGCTTGGCAAGGAGAATAAGCTGTTAGTAACTGACTTGTTAATTCAAAAAACAATTAAAATCAGCACAGGGTGTACAACAATATTGAGTCTTACTTAACATTTGTTCAGAGGTATCTCAACGAAGCAAATTACCACGTCTTATGACAATATGAATCGAAATGATTCTGGTTAAAATCACTATTGTGCTGCATCTCTCAGCAAGTTCTATTTACCAAACTGAACATGGAATTTTTAAATTTTATGTAGGTTCCGAGTGATTATCAAGAACCAAAAACATCCAGCACTTGGAAACAAGCAACGCTTAATGAGTACTTGAATGAATTTTACCTAATATTATCATGTTTTACTAACATTATTTAGATTCACTATACGTAGTACCCTTAATATTTGAAACGTTTTCTAATTGGGCTACAATTTTGGAAATATATTCATTGAATCAGTAGTTTTTATGACTTTAGACTTCACTGGGATACACCCTGTACTTTCTTTTATGGCGACTAGCAGCGACTACACTAATTTTACATACAAGGCATTTCAATAGTTCCCAGTACTTTTCCTAAACAATATTTTGAAAAAAATATGGATTGAAATTCATCGTATCTCATGCTGACTCATCACAAATAATATTAAAACCTTTATTTTGGGGATTTTCCGGTAGTTTTTTCTACATGATTTCAATCTGAACATTTCAGGGGTCAAGCAAATAATTATGACTACGTACTATCGTTGAATTGACGATCTTCCTTGATGAGTCAAAATATCTCACTTTCCCCTTTTTTATTATACAGGATAAAAAAAATGTATCAATATTGCATTATGACTAGTTCGTCACTAGCGAACTAAATGAGTTATTTTATTTCCATGAACACCGTTAGGTGAGGCCTTAACTAGTAAATAGGCTGTCACGATTTTGTTGGATAATGAGGTGTTGACCATTGTTTTGGAATCACCACTCCTTTTGGAAAATATACTTAGGGAATCAATCATTAGGATCTCAGGTACGCAGTGGCGACGCGTGACTTTTACTAAACTGTTACCAAAACCAGATGTGAAAAATCTTATTAAAAAAAGTTTATTTTGAACCTCCCAAATATAAGTTTTTGCTTATTTTAGGTATTTTATTTAAATTATTTTTGAATTAACATAAACATTCCTGGACTGAGCGTCTGGGGCACTTGACATACCTCATTGTCTTACGCTATGACTAATCCAAGCCGTCCGAAAAAACAGTCGACGTTTCTAGATGTTCGGAAAATTTTTGATCTTGTTTGGCAATGAATGTTAACAATTCCCTGCAATTTCCTCTATTGTCAGAGTCATCCCCTTCAAAATGAACGGTAATTCCTGTTTTGCCAAAAAACATACGGAATCTAGAAGTGTGCTGCCTAAAAGCTTCGTTAAGACAACTTTCGATTCTTGTTTTGCCAAACTGAATTAAATTGGCTACACATATCACATGTAACGGAGAAATTTCATGTCTCCTCTTTAGAGCCCTAAAACTAATTAAATCGTTGTCTCCGCTGCTGGTCCACCCATTTTTTTCTGAATAAAACAGAAGACATCGCCAAAAAAACAATCTATTTTTTTGCAACCACATAAACAAGAGTTTCCATATACCAACTTAATTTAAAATATTAAACTTTGTTTTTTATTCCTTTTTAAAATTATCTAAAATAGGTGTTGGTCTTCCATTTTCAATGATCTCCTTTTTTTCTTAAAAATTATACAAGGAGAATAACTTTTCAAGTAGTTGATCGATTACGCAGCGACACTCATCCATGTTTAATTGCACGCACACTACAGCCGGTAACCAAAACCACTACTAACGACTTAACGAGTGAGAAGTGAGCAAACAAATCAAAAAACGGTAACAAGCCCACATAATGTCGCAGGGCCCCACGCACTCGGGCGACCGCGATCAGACACGAGCCGGTACCGACGGTCCCCGACGGACTACCAAATGTATCCATAAATGAAAATGGCAACAACCGACAACCAAGTCGAGGCGAGTCAGCTTCATCGTGTTCGCAAAACCTAGACACTATAGGGCGCATTATTTTCGTGGGGCTAATTTGCTATTTACTGAATTACTATTACATATCGCTGTTGGTAAACAAATAAATCAAATTATTTCACAGTACTTAGTCATAAAATATTTATTTTCAAGATTTTTAACTGTTACCAATGGTAACAACGGTTACATGGACGCTTCGCCACTGCAGGTACGATGAGGAACAATTCAGAAATATCTTTTGGAAATTTTGTTTAGGCACGGAACAATTGATATACCCTGCACATATCCAACGATTAAACAAAAATTGGACGCCATAAGCCTTGATCTTCACCCATAAGTAATTCAAGATTAATTATGCATACACATTGTCATAAAAATATCAAAAGCAGCATCATGCTGGTAAAAATAATACTGTAAGTTTGGTAAGGAGGAAGGACTAGAGACAGGATGTCCTCAACTGATGAGATTATTAAACATTTGTTTTTAATGCCTATCATTTGATTGTAGAAGTCATACTGGACTCATTCTAATCACATAACTACAAGTACTATTTTAATACACCTGATGTTGTTGGGTCAATTCATCCGAGAAGTGCATTTTTGGCCTAATATCGACCATTTTGTGAAAAAAAATTGTGTATAATATCACATTGAGTGATGCAGTGTGTCTACCACTATGAAACTAACTGTGCCTACTCTTAGTGACGATAACTGGAAATTTTTATAATGAATCTGCATGTACGTCTTGGGCAAAAATCTATCCCTTGTAACTACAAGGATTTAGATCATTTAAAAAATTGAGCAAGTGAATTTTAAAAATAAATCAAGTTTCTGCAGTCAATGATTGCAAATTAATTTTTTATTTTTTTATTCAGGTTCAGAAATCTTAAAATTCCGACGTTTCAGACAGGATCTCGTTTCGATGCGATTGTTGACTTCAACAGATTTTTAAACGACCTATAATGTACACATTTTTTCTCAAAATGCTCGAATCACTGAATCATAACTATGAATTGACCCTATCTAAAATTAAATCTAGCAACCAGAATAAGTCGATAACTCCGAAAACTATGTTAAAAACGAACGAGAACTATGAAAATGAAATCCCTAAATATGATCGAGCTCTGTTTCGATAATACCATATCAGTCACCCATTTTTACAATCGTGTTACTCGCACTTGACGTAGGATTGAGGTAATTTAAGCACTAGCTTTGCCTAGGTGCTTTGCAATCGTGTTGCCACAAAAATAAACAAATAACGGTATACCATACAAACTAATATCTTTCGCCAAAACACTACTCTGGTTAGTTTCTTGGCTATGAAAGTCTACCAAAGATAGCATCAGAGCCCATTAGCAATATCAGACATCTAGGCGATTTAACAGTTGCACAGATATTCTGACATCTTAATTTACAGGTAATTATTTTCTATCAAATCACACTGACGATTTATAATCGCTTATCACTTCAAAATGAAATGTAGCGTTTCTGCATGTGCTGGTAGGTCCTGATAACATTTTAGCAGACCTGACATCCAGTAAAACTAACCAATTTCTATTCCTAATTGCTTGATACATTTAAGCGACTTTAATCTACTCTCAGTAGTGTTTCCAGTGAAATTTGTGCATACGTGCTGAAAGCGATTTTATTTTAATATCACAAAAATATGAAATGACGCTTTCAATATTCCAACATATAGATACCTATTATTCCCAATAAGTTTTGTCCATTTTTCTGGCATAGCACTGACCTCTTGGATTTATTCACCATTGCAAATGTGACTTTGACAGCATCAATCTTCTATTTCAGAGTCAAGACCAGGCAGTGTGGAATTGAGAATTCCAAAATGACGGCTGGACGTCATATTGCATACAAATCAAATGGAACGGAGTTCATGGTATAAATTCCCTATTTTCCAAAATGTACGACTGATGGTCTCTCAAATTTGATAACTCGCTTACAGCTCAATAACTAATCAACAAAACCCTGTATATTAATCAATTTTCTTCTTTTGGAGGGAAACATCCAAATATGCAATGAAATACGAAAATACATCTTTTCAAGAGAAAAACATTGATATAACACAGAATATACTTTTGATGACCAGTTGTCGAGTTACAAGTCAGTGCCTAAATATGATCAAATTTGAGACCCCAACAGTTCGCTTTTTCGAAAGGTAGACTATATTTATATTCTACTGTTCACGTGACCCCATTTAATTTTAACTGTAACTTTTACACTTGTCTAAAATGTTCATCATTCCAAAATTTAATCTTCTTAAGGGAAGAAATGGGAGACACTAAAGGAAAGCGCTGTACAAATCGCATCTTTAGAGCATAAGGACACAGGTTTTAGACTTTCTGTGGTTATCTCCAAAACGAACTAATGGCTTCACGCCAGGTTAGGTACTCGAAATATCAGTTGACGCTGCCAAGAGTTAAAATCGCAACGGGAATAAATCATACCTACTAGTGCACCAAACGTGATATCACAACGCAATTTTACACAATGTACTTTGATGCATGTGAAATAACTTACCTGCGTTTGTAATCTAGTTAAACCCCTGATCCATAAAATTTGACCAGCTCTCGGTTTTTTGTCAGAGTCAAGATCGTATTTTTCTTCGCCAATAGCGATGGCTTCTGTGTATTCCTCGGGATGGCCACGGCCCCATCTAAATCATTCTTTATTCAGTAATAGCGTAGGAGCTATGCTTATGATTTTGATAACATGGCATTCTTTCCAGGAAGAATACCGCGCAAGCAATTTAAGAATGTAATAACTTGCTACTGCTACGAATACCGTGATATCAAAACGAATGGCAGTGACTCGTCATAAAACTATTTAGACTGTCACACAAAACATACAAAAAAGTACAGTGGAAGCATTTTGTGCGTGTTGTATCTTTTACTCATTTTAAAACAGTACTTAGCTCATTTGTGAAAATTGCTCTAGTCAACGGCAATGTACTAAATACAGGTTGTTACAGAATGTTACCTTGAAAATTCAACAGTATGCGACAAACTGTATTTTTTGAAAAAATATGGTTTTCTTAAAGCCATACTGATTCTGCTCGAAAAGTGTCTCTTGGAATTTTTCATTATGATAGTTAGAAACGAAGTGCCAGCACAAACAGGATTCTTTAAAAATGAATGACACACTGATACAATATTTTTTCACTACTAATCTGAGAAAGCACCAGTATTTACTGCATTCCTATATGGAGAAGTTACATTTCTCACCCAAGGTAAATAGTGCTAATGAAAAATACTACGAGTAAATCCAAAATCAATTTTATAACGGAAATTATTGTTGTCCATAGTATCAATTTTTCTCATTATATTGACAGCTTGAGTGCTTGGCCAATAATACCAATAACACCTATAATAATTTTTTCAGGAAAACCAGTCTGGCTTCTGTACCGATCTAAATTTTAATATTATTTTTTGCTACCTACGTATCTACTCCTTAAATTTAAAAAAGCTGGTACAGCAGCTATCAAGCCAAAATCAGAAACATAGAGACTGAAGGGAGTTAGAGAAATTAGAAATAATTTGCTTTTTAAAAAAATCTTCCTGCAAAAATGCCCATTTTTATAGCTCCTAAACTATAACCTTCAGACTGAATAACTCTTCACTGTCTTGTAATAGCTAAAACCATTATCTGAAATCGCCTAAGAACTACTTGCAAGAGGGTACTTAAATAACTTACTACTTAGCATGACATAGACGTCTGATCGAAGGATGGTCTCATTTAGTCACCAAAGACCAAACTACAGTACAGAATTGTAAAATATAGAAAACTGCATGACATACACAAAAAAATTAAAAAAGCTATATTTTCACTATTCTTAAAACTTGAAATGCCAGAGTTTATTTTATATGAATTTTGATTCCATCATAAAATGAACCATATATGATTTGAATGAAGAAATTTCAACCTCTAAAATAGAACTATTTTCTAAAGCACTGCAGTTTTCCCATTTCCCCATTCTATCCTGCATTTGGTTAAATACTAGGCTACAGCTAATAGATACAGAAAGGATTAGTTGAAGTATTTTTTTATAATATTTCCACTGGCATCTTACCCCCTATAGTGATGATTTTGTTATTATGATGCTTGATAGTAATATTCTTAAACACATTTGATTCCCATTCTTTGATTTAGTAGTGGAAAGTACTGGTTTGAGACCCTTCACCATGCAATATGCTCTTTGGTATTACATTACACATATAAGCACCCTGACATTGATGATAGCATTGTTTCCATTGAAAACAGGTCTAAAATTCATGTATACTGGATAAAATAAACACTATAGACATAATATATAAGTCAATATAAAAATATGTAACATTGCTATTGATAATCCCATATTTTCACGTCATGTAGATTGTAGCTGCTCTTGCGAGGTAAAACTTCACAAAGATATTCTTAGTGAAGAAGAAATGCCTTTGCGATGGACATTCCAGCAAGATAATGACCCCAAACATACCTCAAAATTCGTAAAGGACTGGTTAAGACTAAAAATCGTTAATGTTCTTACATGGCCTTCACAATCCCCGGACCTAAACCCTATAGAACATCTCTGGGAGCATGTTAAAAGACAACTGATAAGAAAAACTTTTAAAAATAGGAACGATTTATTTGATCATGTAGAAAATATTTGGCAAAATATCTCAACAGACGTCTGTAAAAAATCGCTGTCTTCTAGGAGCAGCAGATGTCACGCAGTGTTGAATGCTAAAGGCTATGCTACCAAACAGTATTTTTTGAATCTTTTTGTAGAGTTATTATATTTAATTTTGTACTAAAAAATACGTTTCCATACTTTTGTCGCCGCATTTTTGGTCATAAAATAATATGAAGGTATTTTAATGCAGTCTGTAGTACCACAGCAAACACAAATTGTCATTTGTATCCTCAAGATTGTAAGCAAACTACATGAGAAAAAAATAGTCCTTAATAATAAAGAATAAAAAATTAGCGCACTTTTTAAAAATTACTACGAATGTTTCCAAACTTTTGTCCGCTACTGTATAATACTGTTTGAATTCGAGTGCTCCTATTGGCTAGCGGACCATAAAAGCATGAGCAGGCAGCAACAAGCGAATGTATCGAGTACTCATGCTTGTTTAGACGAATAAATAAGGTCTTATAAAGAATAAAGAACCATAATTTTGAGTACACCTGAAATCATCAAATAGGAAGAAAATCAGGTAGATAATCGTTAATCCAGGAAACCCAATCATCAGCTAAGCATCTCAATTCAGTTGATAATTATTTTTTAATTATACGCCTTTTTGGATACACTGCTAAATGCAACCATTTTCGTTTTACAATTCACTAAATCAAAAAATGTTGGATACGTTTTTATATTTTTATTAAAAACAAATAAACAAATTACAAAAAACATAGTTTCAATGTTACCACAAAAATGAACAGTTACAAGGTCAAACATGACCAATTTTGAATATAGGGTCATGTATGTGGATAGACTGTGAAGGTATGAATTATGTGGTATGCATCTAAGTGGTTGTTTGCGTGTTAGAAAGTGTAGAGACTCGTCCTTTTTCACGCTCTATCGCTTTGTAACAAATCTTGATGTTATCTTTCAACTATTCACTCTTGTAATAACATGTAACTGCTTTAACAATATGAACAGAAAGAACGTATACTCAAACCGTCAAGCTACCGTTCACGAAGAACTCTTATAGACGAAAATGTTGACTAGGATGGCATTGACCAGAATCATAGGCGCTCTTCGTCAAATCTGATTTAAAAGTCTCAAATTTCAAATTTCATTTTTTTTTCGAATCGCTGTGCGTATACAAAATTTCTTTTTTCGAATCTAAGTTCAAAATATCGGTAATTTTCGTGTATCAACAATATCTGGCGAGTAACAACATAACTAAAACAAATAATTGCAAAACATTTGAGCCCCAAACTCATTAAACGAGATATGCTAAGAACAAGGAGATCAAAAGCAGACGTCTAAAGAGTGATTATGTCGACTTTGGTCAACACCAAAAATAAATTCTTGAAACAAGATTCCAGCTGATTTTTTGATGTTTAAGTCAATTATTTGTTGTTGTTAAGTTCTAGCCTATCCCCGTAGATATACTGAGAAACCTGAAAAATGTGGGTGTCAGTTTCCGGCAATTGTGCATATGAAACATCTATCATGATCGTAGCGCTGATTCAAGTCAAAACATCGGAGAAAAAGGCGAGCAACAACAATAATAAAACTCAAGCCTATTCGAGTCGACATATCGTCAGAACTGAGAAAGTGTCAATCGAATTCTAGAGCCAATATGCCGGCATAAAAAGGCGAGCAAAACACGAAAAAAAAGCAGCCAATTCAAGTCGACATATCGAAAGTGAAAATTAAGAATTCATGAGTCGATATATCGGCATAAAAGGGCGAATGAAAACAGGAACAAAGCTCTATCCGATTTAGTTGTAGTAGCGAAAAGATCCAAATTAGTGAGTAGGAACTCAAATAACTCTCCAACTGATTCACTCCACTCCAATCACTTCAATGAGGTCATACAGGAAGACAAATTCAAGTTATTTAAGTCAAGTCTCAGTTGAATTTGCCAGGTTGACAAAAACATCTAAGAATGTCATTCGAGATCGACTGTGATCGGAGAGCAAAAAAATAAATAAAACAGAAGCATAAGCTCTAGCCTATCCCCGTAGACATACTGAGAAACCTGAAAAATGTGGATGTCATTTTCAGGCAATTGTGCATATGAAACATCTTTCATGATCGTGGCGCTGATTTAAGTCAATGCATCGGAGGAAAAGGCGAGCAAAAACAATAATAAAACTCAAACCTATTCGAGTCGACATATCGTCAGAACTGAGAAAGTGTCAATCGAATTCTAGAGCCAATATGCCGGCATAAAAAGGCGAGCAAAACACGAAAAAAAAGCAGCCAATTCAATTCGACATATCGACTAATCTCGAAAGTGAAAATACAGAATTCATGAGTCGATATATCGGCATAAACAGGCGAATGAAAACAGGAACAAAACTCTATCGCAACTAATGTGTTGAAGTGGAAGCATCGATGCGAACCCTTCTCCTACACCTGGAAAAAATAAATGGCGCTTCATATACAACTTCAAATTATCAACAATTGTCCACGGTATCTAAAAACTCAAAAGAGTATCATCAATGTCAAGGTGGGATCAGGCAATCTTACACATTAAGGTAACATAGAGTCACATCGAACTTACGATAGAATCTTTGGAAGCTTGCGGGTGGGAATGGTGGTGACCAGCTGTCCCCATAGGAGGGTTCCCAGCCCAAAGAAGAGACACCAAAGCCACTGCTCCAAGGTCAGGCCTTTTGTGGAGAACGCCATCTTGCCGTATTGGACAATTACCACCTACAACAAAAAAAAAGAAACAATACAGGAACAGGCAGAATAGTTGCAGGTGCTAAATGGTAACTGCTTGCTTTCCATCTCTGCGACCAAAATTAAATATATACATATATACGTTGTTTTATGCTTTTCGACAATCATCAGTATGGTCTAGATCTAGTCATATGGAAATAGATGACGGAACGCAAACGAGAGAAGGCTTTAAGCTCCTAGGAGTTGTCGCTCAGCTAAGACTTATTTTATTATTCACTCCCAGTCATAGGTAAACGGTATCTAAAACTCAATATTTACGTAATTTACTTTGGATTGATATGTTTTGATCAATTTTGAAGTACAAAGGAGAGATTTATGTATAGATTATAACGCCAAGCAAATGACTGGTTTTGCAGGCCAGACGACCCTTCTAACGACATTCTCCATGACCATTTTGCATAAATATGGATGAATTTCGTTTAGCGCCGATATTCGTCTTTCAATGAGCGTCTGTGGGCTTATACTGAGTTCGAATGACATCCGAAGGTGTTAAATCGCACGACCTAGGGAAGGGAGCAAATATGAGCATCTAAACGAGAGACGTCACGACCAGAAAATGTATTATGTTGCAATTGAATTGTTTCATCGGCTGTATAACATGTTGCGCTATCTTGATGTATACTACACAGGGTGATACACAAGTCGTCACCAAAAATGAAACCTCATACACAGGACCGCATTTTAAGGGGGGCCTTCTATGTAACATGTTTTCCTCGAGGGCTTCATCAAAAAGATACAGGGTGCTGAAGTTAAAAAAATAAAAAACAATTTTTCTTCAAAATCGTCAACCGGAATGAACTAAAATTTGGTATGTGGATTTAACTAAGTATTGTCCACATTCAAAAGTCTTTACTAAAAATCAACGTCCACCAGTGGTGGAGATACAGGGGATTAGCTGCATTATTTTTCCAAATAAAAGTGGCGCGCCGCTGTTTTTTTTTCGGAACGCGCTATTTTTCGAATTTTACCTTCAATTTGCTACAAATAATTACGCTTGTGTTTTTTCCTAGAGTGCACTGTTTTCGTAAAAATAAAACAAATTAGACAATTAAAACATATTTCCGCGATTTTTTGTTTTTTTATTTCGAAAAATAATGCCACTAATCCCCTGTATCTCCGCCACTGGTGCACGTTAATTTTAAGTAAAGACTTTTGAATGTGGTCAATCGTTAGGTAAATCCACATACCAAATTTTAGTTTATTCCATTTGACGGTTTTGAAGATATTAAAACAATGTTTTTTAATTTTAAACTTCAACTTTTTAATGAAGCCCTCGAGGAAAAAATGTTACATAGAAGACGGTCCTGTGAATGATGTTCCATTTTTGGTCACGACTTGTGAATCTAATATCTACATCACGAAAAACTATATCACTCATTTCCGTCTGTCTGTCTGCTAATCCTTTGCCCGTCTGTGAATTCCCCCACAAAGTTACTACTATGCCAAAGCTTTCTAGTTTCAGTCCAGTTTCGACGGCGCTATAATCAAAAAACGAAAAAAAAAAAAATAACAATCGCTGAAACTCCGTTTTTGACGTTTCAGGGGTTCCTAATGATTTTCATAAAAAATTTTAGTGCTTAAAAAGTGGGGGTTAAGGGAAGGTGATATCAAATGTTGCATTTTTGATACACGTTCTAGTATTAAGAAGCTTCTGATCCCAGGAATTGCAGGAAATTTAAGTTACGAAAATCCGACGAATAATGTGCTCACGATTTGAAAAAATCGGTAACTGCGTTATAGGTTTGACACCGAGCAGCTGCCGATAGCAGGGAAGGATAAATTCGGATATTTATAATAGGGATTATTAGGGCTAGATCGCCAATCGAAATATGACTCTGTTATTATGGAAATTTACCCCGGTACGCGCCGCAGTCTAAGACCCCACTGACGTTCCTTTTTTATTCCTCCGTTACATCAGGAGATTGTCCTCATGCTCGTGGGAGCCGCGTTAAAGAGCTCAATCCAAGAAGAGATTGCATTTCAAAGTAAGTGGGTAGCTTTACCTGTGCTAAGCAAGTTCCAAACCAGATAGTGTAGAAAATAGGGTTGGTGAAAATTCCCTCGAAGACGTTCCTTTGACCATGGATCTTTCTGGCGTTGAATTCATTGAACAAGGTCATCATGACGAAGGAGTTGAAGATGATCGTGAAATGCTGGGTTGGACCATGGGTTGCATTGGCGCCTCGTCCCGGTTCGATATCCAATATCCTGTCACCTGCAAAAATAAATCAATTGGAAATTAACTGTTAACTACAAGGTCCCGCCTCTCGAACGAGACCGCTACGACATTAACCGACGGAATAACGCGTATTTAGCAAAGGAAGTTATGCTCCTGCACCCTGTATTTGAATATCCTCAAAACGAATGAGGGGGGGCGTCACCTGTATTTTTCTTACACTGAAAATATGTACTTTCTGTTTCCACTCTTTAGTTTTTTATTTTACCAAGTAATTGATCTTGCAACATAGTCGAATGAAGCATGTTCTCATTCGACGATAAAGTGCCAAAAAGCTTTGTTTTGAAATATGTAGACATAATGCTAAAGGTGTACAAATCTTACAGGGTTGTCCACAACTATAATTGAAAGTGAAATCCTCGATATTTACTTAAGATACTTTGCTACGTGAAAAAGCAAAATGTGGAATCAGTCTTCTAGGGGAACAATGACCTCATCTACCGTCCTTGTATATGCCCGTGTTTCTACTTACCCACAAAGAGTAATCCAAAAATGACAGTCAGTTGGTAGACCGCCTGGCCTAGAATGTTCTTCATCATTGTCCTTGAAATCAAGGGCTTTGTCCTACCGTAGGGTTTTCTTAGTAGCAGATCTGGAGTTGGCATTTCTGTGGCCAAAGCTAGTGATGCCAGGGTGTCCATAATCAAGTTGACCCATAACATTTGCACAGCCTGTAGAAAAAACAACAAAGCCGTTTAGTTATAGAAAAAAGAAATACAAAAATCTACATATCTGCAATCTGGATGAAATCTCATTTCAAGCCTTTGGTGCAAAACGGTGTTAACTCATTTTATAGTTTGGAGATAATTGGCCTCAAGTTTAAATCCTGAACATTTTATTGAATAGTGTTAGGGCTGCTTTTATTACTGAAGGTTATTTCGGAGCCCACATGTATGAAAAATACTCACCTTTAGGGGACTGTCTTGTACGGCACAAGCACCAATGAAAGCGACAATAACGGCAACAACGTTGACAGTAAGTTGGAACTGCAAAAACTTGGCTATGCTGTCGTAAACGTTTCGGCCCCACATGACTGCTTTCACTATACTGCTGAAGTTATCATCCGTCAGGATTATGTCAGAAGCCTCCTTAGCTACATCAGTACCAGCGATTCCCTACAAGTGAACCAAAATATTGAAAATTGGTACTATTGCAAAAACACTGCTCTACAAGGGTAATTCCTAAAGTAAGTTTTTTTACAAAAAGCCATTCATTTCCAATAACTGATGCATCATCATGATGAAGCTCAAATATTTGGTCTATTACTTCTCACGCTTACTGGCAGGGGAAAGTATTGTCATCGCCAAAATTTTCGAAAAAGAAATATGTTTTTTGAATGTTATATGCTACAAGTGCAAAAGAAAATCATGCCACACATTTCCGTCAGTTTGTATGTCTATCTGCTGGTGTGTCTATCCGCTAATCCAATACCCGCTTATAACTTGAGAAGTACTGCTCGGATATTGATGATATTTTCACACAATGTTATTATTATAGCAAAGTTTTTGAAAAGCGGTGCAGTGTCGGCAGAGAAAAAGACCAAGAACGAAAAAAAATCGCTCATACTACATTTTTTGACGATTCGGAGGATCCTGATCGTTTTAAAAAGAACTATAGGTTAAAAATTTGGGGGTGGAGGTTATAGAAAGGAAATAGACAAATTTGAATATTCTCGTTGTACCAGGTATTTATATTTTTTAGTAACTCTTGTTTTTGTTCAGAAAAAGAGAACAATTTAGCGCCTGACCTGAAGGTAGCTACAGTGGCCTGAGTTACCCTCGACACAGACTTACCTCAACAGTAATTTCATTAAGATCTGGTTCAATTGTAAGTTTGTATTTTCCATTACTTAAGCTGTAAGTATATCTAGTACATTTTTGTATGTTAATCTACGATTATTATTATACAAGGTCTGTCGCAAAGTAAACACGACTTTTGAAAGACATCCTTTACAAGTGGCGCCATCTATTATTGGAGACTAGCGTTGGATAGGTACATCTTTCATTGAAGCCCTGTCAAAATTTCATGGCAATCGAACCGCTTCACGCGGAGTTATCGCGCTCAAAGTTATCGTACCTTTTTAGCATTGAACAAAGAGCCAATATTAAGTTCTGTGTTAAACTTGGTAAAAAATTTACCGAAACGCATCAGATGTTGATGCAAGTTTATGGTGATGATTATTTATCTCGTAGCCGAGTCCACGAGTGGTTTATACAGTTTCAAGAGGGTCGTGAGTCGCTGGAAGATGACGAACATGTTGGCCAGCCAAAATTTGTGGCAAATTCGAAACAAAAAATGTTTGTTCACTTTTTCTTTGTCCTGTTTATAGTTATATAGTGCCTGGTTACACGTTTTGTGTATTGTCGTCTAATTATTCAATTCCTGCAATGGATTACAATTTCATTATTTAAGGAATTTTGAGTAGAATTTGAATACAGAAGATCGAGATAATCAAAAATATCATAGCGACTCGAGTATATCATCACAAGGCACCATCGAAATGAATTTCAATGGTCAAAACTCATTTAGAATCAGGCCCATGGTCATTCAGTAACTGCTTCAGTGTTTACACAAATGCAATGGTTGAAATGGTCATTATGTAGAAAAATAGACCAATGTTCAAATGTAACAATTACTAGGAATGGAGGCTTTTTGCAAAAATGTTACTTACCATAGCAAAACCGACATCAGCCTTCTTAAGAGCTGGACCATCATTAGTACCATCACCAGTTACAGCAACTACTTCCCTGTTTTCACTCACGTTACTGTCGATAATACCTTTGACCAAGGTGTATTTATCAGTAGGAGAAGATCTGGCGAGTACTCGCAATTTAGGCCACACCTTGTCAAGCAAGTGTTGTTGAACCTGGAATAAAAGAAAAACAAAAACTAATTAATTCAATTTGTCTACTTTTATTGACTGAGTGAATGCAAGTTTCAACAATATTAGCAAAACAAAGGATTAATGCAAAACATTTAAATACAAATATTTTATAAAAGTTACGAATACAAATGATTCTGATAAGAATTTATATATGACCACATTTCTAATCAACCCTCCAAGGCTGAGTGCTAATTAAAGATTGATAAACCTTTTGAGTTTAAATGAACAATAATGCATGTTTAGGCGACCCTCAGGAGGCTGCAGCAGTTGCTATCACATATTCAGAATTTACTATAACTCTGAAATTCTGAAAGTTTCAAACTTCAGAAATATTAAAACTAATGTTTACGAATTATAAAACATTTTCATGATTCCTAAGGTTTCTCAAATTTTCGAAATTTTTAGGATCTTAACAGTTTCCGAGTTTTCAAAATTTACTCATTTTTCAAACATTTCTCATTTTTTGAAAAATTGAAAACAAAATATTTTGGAAATTTGGAAGTTCTGAATATTTTTAAAAATCGAAATTCGATAATTCCCAAAGATTTGTAAATTAGGTAAATTTTTGAAATTGTTAATATTTAGTGTATTTCTAACATTTTGGAAATTTAAAAATTTTGAAAACTCGTGTTCATTCAAAATGCAAGGGTCAATCAACACTCAATCATCACTCAACTCTCAAGGGTAGACTATAAATGTGAGCTCAAGCTACAAAAGGTCGCTCGGTGTCAGATCGCGTGAGATTTTCCTTGGAAGGTTAGACATAGGGTAATTTTGGTATAAATTTACGACACTATTCAACATCAGAAATACAAATTTTGAATTTAGTATACATTGGAGACACTAAAGTACCACGATTCTCGTTCAAAAAGAGGACTAAACAGAATTTTCGAACTGTCGAAAATGGGATACCGTTTTTGAAGTTTTTAAGACAATTTTTAATGAAGTTAAGGAAAACAGATTTTTGTATGTACCTCTCCTGAGCTGTCGCGGATCCTCCTGTTAAACTCCTTGCCCTCAAGAATGAGGAAGTCTTCGTTAGGTTTGACGATGCCGCACTTTGTTGCAATCGATCTAGCCGTATTCACGTTGTCGCCTGTTACCATTCTGACAGTGATACCTGCTCTCTGACATTTACGGATAGCGTCTGGCACTTCCGGTCTGACGGGGTCTTCGATGCCCACCACGCACAGACACGTCAAGTTGCTGACGATGTTGTCTTCGTCATCCCAGTGTGGCTCATTCTTTTCGATGTGTACCTGGAATGGAGGTAAATTTTAAAGTGGTACTAGCGCAAGGTCCAGGATAAAACTTCTCCCCAATCACAGGACAACCACGACACACAACGGGTTAGCAGCAAGGAAATCTGACGCTGGTTAAGTTTCATACGACAAATTTTTAACATCCCTGTAACTGAATTCCTTTATAAAATGAATTGATGTGAAAAACATCAATAAGACGAAAACCACCGATTTATCATGTTCCAAGCCAAATACACGAACCCTCAATTTTCTTCAAAATCTGTGGTAACGTTCTAATGCCTCTTGATATTATATACGCAATTTTTGCATTTGAATATTTGCGTACATATGTACTTTGATCTCCCAACATTTTTCTTTGTTTTTAAAAAGCCCAAGTTTCACGATTTTGGCATTTGTCAAAAATTCACCTAATTTCGAATATTCATTCAACTATTTTTAGATGCATGGTTGCCACACTTCCTGCTTCAAATCTATAATAAAGCTCACTGAGACACTTTGTGATCATGCTGTCATATAGTAAGTGAAATAAAATATTTAAAGATGGGTCAGTTGCGAACAAAAATACTTATGCGAACCCCGAGCTTTTCTAGAACAATTAAGTACTAAAATGAGAGAAAAAATGTTAGAAGTTTGAGATATTTAAATGCAAAAATCTAATCCAGGCGATCAACTCAAAATTTGAGTTATTTCCAAGACACACTTATCCTTGGTGTCTTAAGGAAACTGAATATTTGAAAATATCGAGTTTCTCATAAGATCCCATCTAAAGGTTATAGGGATTGTTCCAAATTTCAGATATGTCCATAAATTGGGACCAAACTCAACTACCACCTTACAGATTGTCGAGGTGATTACGTACTTTCATTGTAAAAAAAAACGCATACGTTATCTCAAATCGCTTATATGCTGTGAAACGAAATATAAATCATAATTATTCAATAAATAATGTTTACTGCAATGTTACATAGTTTAAGTGATTGTTTGCATATGGCTTCATATCAATCATGTCACCATAAAATCTATTTCAGGAATCTTTACATACATGATACACACTCTATTTTAAATCGGAAACTCGATATTTCATTATTCACGGTCAATAAAACTGGGGAAAATCGAAATAGACAGATGCTACCACAATTTCGATACTATACGAACAAAGGAGCGATCCTATCAGCGAGTATGTAATGTGCAGAGTTTGACCGTCAGGATGAGAAGTAGAAGCGGCGGCATCATGGGGACAGCTCAAAGGAAAAAAGTCCATTGGCATATTAGTAGAAATTTATCAAATGCAGACGTACCTGGTTGATTTCGGCTTTGCCAGGCACGAAGTCCTTGAAAGCAATACAAATGGTCCTCAATCCATCACAAGCCATTGGTTCGATAACCTGCTTCAACAAACGCTCTTGCATATCCCTGGTGAATTTTTCCAAACGACCATCATGGCCGTAGATGAAGGCACACCTGTAGAAAAAACCACACTGAAGTTTCGACTTGAAATTTGATACAGGTATCTCCATATTGCGCAATTGAAGATTTCATCATCATACTTTAGGTTACTGTCAGGAAGAAACACCCTGTACATTGATAATATCACTTACTTGTTAAGTATTATTTCTGAAGCTCCTTTCGTGTATAACCTGTAGCCTCCGCCTTGACGTGGTATGACAGTACTCATCGATTTTCTAACTGAGTTGAAGGTGTATACTCTGGTGAACGTCTCTTCTGGATAGTCATCCCTGATGGTCTGGTAGTTCTTGCCAAGACCCAGGACAAAGCCTAACAATGCACATTCAGTTTTGTTGCCTACTTGTTTTGGAAGGTCGCTTCCTTCATCCCCTGGCTGCAAAATAAAAGTTTTCACAGCCTCAGAAACCTCTCAGGGAAGCAGCGATGTGACGCAATTAACAAAAGGTTTTTTATACAGGTCCTAAATATTTCAGCATCCGCAAAACCAGATCATTAATACAGCATTTTACTTTACTAATGTCACTATGCTACACAGTTCAACCCTGTATTTCATTTGTCATATTATGGCGATTGTCATTCCAATTTCTCTGTAGATTGTGACCCACCCAATTTGGATGAATATTCTTTAAGGAAACATGATTAAAATTCTCCAAGCGATTGGTGAACAAAATATTTTTCCACGTTTTTCTGATGGTTTGTTATTAGATCCCAAATGCGCAGACTTCCATGATTTTGTCACAAGAGAAAGAACATGATGTCACTGAGGTGTCCGAACAGTAATTCCCATATTTCGCCTCCATGAAGAATGCAGATGCAGCACTAGTTGTCGAATATTGCATGAACGTTAATCGGTACGTTTTTATTTTAATGGCACTCCAATTAGCCATAAAAATTTAACGGGAATATTCCAACAGTTACTAGAGAACACTGTATACAGTAGCAGCAAAAGCAAATTAACCATCATTGGAAGACAGATTAAAATATACTGTCATATCATTTTGAGTTGTACTACTCTGAAAAAGATTTCCAAGGTTGCTGGAACATTAGTAAACTTTCACTTCAAAATCTGTGGTTTCATTTGGTAGGACATGGACATTAATTATTATTTTTGGAAATACAGTGAAGTGATCCAGAACATATAGGTACTCTATAAAGACATGCCAAACATTCTTTTGGTCCATGTGAGTCAAAAAGAGCAATTGACTTACCATAATCCTTGATGTGTAAGCACAGTTGACAGATATTCCCTGGATGATGAGATTGCCCACTTGAGATGGTATATCGGAGAATTTAGGCATAGTTTTACACAACTGCTCGCAGATATACGATTGTACAACCGTCATACGGTTCGTAGTCAGAGTACCAGTTTTGTCAGAGCAAATTGCTGTCGCATTGCCCATAGTCTCGCAAGCATCCAAGTGCCTTACTAAGTTGTTATCTTTCATCATTTTCTGGAAACAAGAACGTTCTAGTTAGAAATGGCATATCCATCTTATACAAAAATACATATAGCTACAAGCATTAGTTTGAAAATAGACACGGTCAGCAAAGTAAACATCTCTATATGAGCCAAGTAACACATTTGCACAGTTCCATCCACAATTCTATGTAGAAGCTACAACGCTAGAAAGTTTACCTTGGCTGAATGAGAAATGGTACCACTCTACAGAACATAAATACGAAATATAAAAGAACACTTACCTTAACACTATAAGCTAATGACAGAGTTACAGCCAACGGTAATCCTTCAGGAACAGCAACAACGAGTACAGTAACACCAATGATAACGTGGCGGACGAAACTGTTGACATATGCAACCTTCCATGGCATTTGTTCAATCACGAAAGTTTGGATACAAAACTGAGTCATCAGAATGACAACAGTCAGCACGGCTATCGTGGATCCAGCATATCCTATCTGTATGGCTAGCTTGGTCAGTTTCGCCTGAAGTACGGACTTCTCTTTCTTGTGGCTCTTAGAAGCTTCAGTGGTATTGACATTGTTCTCCTTAGCGCTTTCTTCTTGCTTACGAGCTGGTTCCTTCTTGTGAGGTACTGTTGCCGGTGATGGGGAGTTCATGTGGCTATTGCCAGTTACGTTGTCTTCTTCCCCTACACAGAACATACATGTAGCTACTTATGTAAGTACAGGCCACAAATGCTACAAAATGTGTCATTCAAGCTTTGTTCTAAACTCATCCTTTGGTTTTTCCCATACAATATAAAATGTCTTCTAACTTGGAGACTAAAAAACAACCCAAAAATAATAATGGCATTGGATCACCACTTTTTTAATATTATGCATATCATTATGATATCCTACTTGTTAGCAATATACAGGGTGTTCCTGAATATGAGACTTTACAAGGCGTATAGTATAGTATAGTATAGTAAAAATAAGCAAATACACCGAAAGTTTTAACCTAACAGAGATTTGAAGCTCCAAAAAATCTGCGCTGCTCTACCTTCAGCAGTCGCCACAATATTTTGATGAATTTCAGTAGGCGCCATACGCAGACATCTTGTTACTACTGTTTGCTCAAAAGGATACATTTACAGAAACGGACAAAAGTTTGGAAAAAAATATTAACAGATTAAAATTGTGGAAAAACAGATAATATAAATATTAAAGTCTACCTTTGGCTCCCGTAACCAATACAAGGTTTATCTTATCAATATTCAAATTCGCTGAAAATAAAAACACGTGTTTTTTTAAATACCATAGTTTTTGTAACGACAAAAGTATGGAAACATTTTAGTTTGGCCGTATTTATTCGTTCTGCGATACTTTGATATTGCGTGCGGTAAATATTAACATCGGTGAGAATGGCAGAATAAAAAGAATTTTAAAAAGATTTAAGAGACAAAGTGACTCAATTATTTAGAAGTGGTGCCAGAAATGTTGACATTTCTCAAAGATTAAAAATGAACAAAGGGACGATTTCGAAAATTATTAACAAATATCAAGAAATAGATCAACAGTAACTCGGCCCAGGTGCGGAAGACCGCAAAAAACCGACTACATTTTGGATCGCTACATTATACGTTTGTCCCATAAAGATCCTCGTAAGCCAGCCACACAGATTTTCAAAAGAATGGTAGAAGAGGACGCCGAGAATCTTTCTGTCGGAACAGTGCAGCGACGCTTGGTGGATTTTGGGCTTTTTGATAGGAGTGCAAAATCCTCTCATTTAAAAAAAATCTTATTGCTCGACTTAAATTTGCTAAAACTCATCGAACTTGGACAGAACAGCAATGGAATACAGTTTTATGGAGCAATGAAAGCAAATTTAACTTGTTTGGACCTGACGTTAGACGTCCAATACCAAAAAGATTCGATAAAAAGTATCAGTTGACAACAGTTGAGCACAGTGGGGGCAACATCATGGTTTGGGGCTGTTTTTCTAGTCTGGAACGGGTCCAATTGTTAAAATTGTTGAGAAAATGGATCAAAAACTTTACAAAGATATTATTAGTGAACACATGCTCCCTTTTGTTGAAGAAGAAATGCCTTCACGATGGACATTCCAGCTAGATAATGACCCCAAGCATACCTCAGAATTCGTAAAGGACTGATTAAGACTAAAAAATGTTCTTAAACGGCCTTCGCAATCCCCGCACCTAAACCCTATAGAACATATCTGAGAGCATGTTAAAAGACAACTGACAAGAAAAACTTAAAAATAAGAACGAGTTATTTGATTATGTATTTTAGGTATTTGAATGCTAGTCTGTAGTACCACAGCAAACACACATCGTCATTTGTATCAAGACTGTAAGCAAACTATATGAGAAAAAAAAAATAGTCCTTAAGGACTAATAATAAACTAATAAAGAATAAAAATTAGCGCAGTTTTTAAGAATTACTAAGAATGTTTCCAAACTTTTGTCCGCATCACTCAAATAGGCATCTACAAGGAAGCCAGGGCAGGACCACAGTGATCAATCCTCGTAGTGACAGGGCGGTACTTGAAATTTTCCTATCAATTAAACGATTAGTTTCTTTCTCCTTTTTTTTACTTACCTGCTGTTTCATCGCACATTAGCTTTAATATTTTAAACGTAGTTGTTTCTAAAAAGGAAAGTCCGAACTTTCAGAACACCCTGTGTATACTTGTATATTATCATTTATTATGTCTATTACAGCTACACCAATTTGTAACTGTGATAAGTGAAAAACCCTAAGTATCAAAATGGTGTGGACAATGGCATGTATAAAAGTGAGCAATTCAGATGGATGATGGCCGAAACAACTTGTTAGAATAGCCAGTTAACCCCTCCCCCATAAAAAACGAAACTGTCCTCAAGACCTTTTTTGAATTGCTACCTTGGATCTACTACAAGGATTTCTGTACTGAATGATATTCAAAGCAAAATTCAATGATGCCCACATTTTTTAACACACTTGACAGCAGCTGTGCTTCAGAATACATGTATTTTGGTTAGTTAAGTGCATGCTGAACGACACTGCAATCAGTCTGAAGGTTAAGGGACAGACAATACGACATTGAAGTCAGGGTGCAAGAGGTTTCATCAAATAGGAAGTAGAAGTTGCTATACTAAAAATCATTCTAGGATGTTTTGTGGAAAAAACCGTTGTACAAAATCTGAAAAAACATAGATGTCCAAGTACACAAAATTATTCCCTTCTATCACTGATCAACTCACAATCCATTGGATAATGATATGGTATTTAAATCCAGAATGGAATAAGCTCTCGTTTACAAAAAAAAAATGACAGCCGTCTAAAAACACGAAAAGCTCTAATAGTTCTATACTCGATAGTAAAACCACATTGCATATTTGTATATATGGGTGGAAGATATCACAAGATGAGCATATAACTAGTAGTCAAAACCAGGTTTGAAATAAAAATGTCAATACCTCACACTAACATAGCTAAGCCTATCTAGACAACTTCCCAACTCCATGACTAAAGTCAGGTGATGTCAGATTCTAAATGAGAAAAGTATGCAATAAGGGAAAGTTGCTAAATTGTAGATGTGGGTTTTTGTACAGTTTATAAGAATGTGCATGACAGGAAAATAGCACGATAACAGGTAAGATCTGTGCTTTGAAAAGTTGATAGTTGAGCTGCATCTAACTACAAATTTAATGATACAAAAATCAGTGCAATAAGTATATGTCAACTTGCAAAACATCACTGAAACAGGCTTATCTCTGGTTGAAACAAGTCAAATGGATTTTTATAAAAATGTAAAAGTTTAACGGAGGTGATTGACACTTTTACGTTCAATCATCCTTGAAATACAATTTTGAATTAATGGTTAAGTTTCAGCTTACAGACACATTTTGTAGACGATATAGGTAACAAGTATCATGAGCAACACATAAATGCATGCTTCAGTATCGTCAAAAATATATAAAGTTTATTTATATTTAATTTAAATTTGATTTATTTATATTACAAGTAGTTATTTATCAATTTTAAAAAGAATAAAAAATTATTCACCTGGTGAACCCTTCTTCTTCTTCATCTTTTTAGCTTCTGTACAAAAACACATGCAAAAGGAGAACATTAGCAATCTCAAAACACTCCCAAAGTCCTGACATGGGTAAAAGTGGATGAATATGTTCAATTCATGGCATAAAGGTTATAGTGGAACTAAAATCCCATGGGAACTAAATCATCTGATATAGTATTCCTATTCCTAATTGAAACCGCATAAAACCCCAAGTTGGCGTTACATGAAAAAGAGCTCTTGTAAATGGCATCACAACTCAATATTGATTATTTCAGTATTTCCTCATACTAATGTCAGAAAATGGCTCCAGATGTCCTTCAACTTCATCGAACTCAAATAGTCTCCAAAAACTCATTCTCCATGCTCTGTTTTCAATAACAGGCGAGACGATAAAATTTGCAATTCTCAACCAAGAGTGCAGATGGCTGGTACAAGTAGCGTGTAAACGTAGTAACTATCCAAATACTCTTATTCACCTATGATCCACTGTAAAGTTTTTCTACGTATACAGGGACCATTCAGCGGTTTTTGTTATTTTTATACAATGTTATTGACGGCCGTGGTTTTTTGTCGTGTTCAATTCAGATTAGAAATACCATAATATCTATTACCAAATATTCAATACCAAAATCAGTCCTGATCTGGAATTGCCTTTTTCAAGTCGTCAAATGGAATGTTAAAATTCGAACAAAGTTAACAATACAGTAGGCGTTCGTGTGTTTTCCTAAATGTGAACTAAATTTTCGTTTAAAAAGAACCAAAATATGCCATGGATTGGAACATTGCAATCGTAGACTGATTTTGGTTTCTAATTTGTAGAAACGATGATAAAAATCCAATTCAGACTCTAAAAGGAATTTATCTATGTCATAAATTGTTTTTTGAGTGACTGCGTGAAAAGTAAATACATTAAAACAAAACTTAAAACAAAAAATTAGATTTACAGGACATTAACTTCCAAAAAGGGTTAAAATATTATTAGGACTACAAAGGTTACTACTCTGATCTACATGTCATCAAACATCAAATGTGTTAAGTGTGTTAAAGTCCTGTAAAATAATATGATAAATGATGATAAATTGTAATAGTAAATGAAACTGATTTCGATCCATGAGAATCACGAGTGGCATTATCCAACTCCTAGACCATCAGCAAGTGTAAAAAAACTGGGACAACGTAATAAATCAGACAAAAGCAATGAATTTCAGCAACTTCAAAGACGATAATCGATTCGAAAATGGTCCACCATCCAAGCATATTGCTCTACATCTGCTGAACTTTTGGCGAATAGTGTAGAATTACGTAACACGTGGATGGTGCAGTTTTACGATTGTTCAATGGCCGGCAACGTCGCATTTCCCCGCATGATCCTTGGAAAGCTTCGAGCTCGATGTTGAGCGTTCGAAGGCGGCAACCGAACGTTGCCAGACTTCAACTCAATTCTACCACTCAAAGAAATCGCGACAATCGTACTATTAAAATAATGAACGATAGGTCGTTAACAGTTTTTAATGAAAATCACTCTGTAGCAGTGACGTAGCTACCTTGGGTGGCACCCGGTGCGGAAGGTGGTGGTGTCACTCCATGGAAAGTCAAAAGCAATAAATTTTATATGATTCATAAATGTCATGGATCATTTAATATTTATATTTAAGATATTGAACAAATAACAAAACACAATAAAAACTAAGACAGAAAAAATATATTTATCTTACAAGTAAAATCTCGTTTTTCTAGCTATGAAAGCTGCAAACTCGGAAATAACTTCATGAAAATTTATATTTTGTATTGCCTCGTGTTCGATGGCTAATATACCAAGATTGATGAGCCGCGATTAGGTCATTGTTGTTGTTTTTTATTAATTTTAGTTTACTGAAACTCCTTTCACATGAAGCTAAGGACATGCAAACCGTCATGAACAATTTTAGTGCAATCATAAGATTTGGAAGAGATTCTGTAAAACGCCATTCTACAATAAACTTTAAAAAAATCTAGAAATTCCCAGTCAGAAACTGTAACATTAGCAACTTGGTATCACCAAAAGTAATTCTGTTTCTGAGACCTCGTCATAAAAAGCAGTAAATTTCAGTTCTTCAGTATTCACATGCAAAGTATTTGTTTGTATGATCTCAAACAATGAAGCTAGGTCTTGAAGAGACTTCGATCTTATCTGGAGTTCAACTCTGAAAAAGTTGAGTCACCAGGTGGGTGTCACCAAAAAAGGTGACAGCAGGCGCGGACCGCCCCCGCCGCCCCCCCCCTTACTACGCCACTGCTCTGTAGGGCTAAGCTCAGTGAGTTGATTTTGTCGAATTATACAAGGTCTTTCTTAAGCATGAAGAAAAATGCAAAGGTTGACTGTTTGGCACATCCTGAGAAATGGTTTTCCGACAATCGTTAAAGGACCAAAACATTCTTAGGATAGACCAAAAAAGTATCCCCTGCATTATCGGCCCATGTTTTCAAAAAGCTTTGTATGAAGTGACTAAATATACTAAATTATTTTTTGGACTATATTTATGAGCATATATAAATTTATTTCCATAAATTAGTTGTGAAAATTGACCACTGATCCTTATGGATAGAATCTTAGTACTTTGTATCATTCTCTTGTGATGAAGACAAAAAATATCCCATACAAAAACATAGACATAGAGACCAACTGAAAAAAAGTAATGACACCCAGCTGAATATCGTGTCTTTTGTCTGTGATGAAATGTAAAAAATATAGTAATTCATCTATTGAGACAAGATATTATTACATACACTGAAGGAGAATGTGCAACTAACAATAAATACACTTAATAATTGAATGCAACTATAGGGAAATAGACATAACCGAAAAATTACATTAATACAGTCAAGCAAGTCATAACATAAAAAATGTGCAACAAAATATTGTTTATCATAACATATAATATGTACTTTAATAGCTCGTAAATTTTAATTGTGAAACATACTTTGAATAGAAATAATTCATAAAAATGACGTTTACGGATAACAGAAAATCGAAGCAAAGATCTAAATTTTTGGTTTTCCAGATGTATCCAGAATTTTCAGGTTATGTCATTGGATGCATATCCGATCAAGTACAAAATCTGCAATCGGTTGCGCATTTTATATAAGAGAAAATAGCGTCACGTAAGGTGACTCTGTACTTCCCACGCAATGCTGTCTTCAGTTCGTAAAGGATTATGTTTGATAAAAGTAAGCCCTTCCGAGAAAAAAGTTCTCCCCCTGACTGAAATTCCTGCATGCGCACATGATCGATGGGATGACCAATCCTGCGTGTATGGCGATATTGGCCTTGACCAAGCACAGTGCACGCAGGCCACAGTAGAGCGGAAGCGATTGCCGAGTGTGACGTATGACGCTTGTCCATCGGGGGACCACGTATCAACACGCAACTGTTGGAGATAGGCGTGGGGAGAAAAAACATAAAATTGCAAAATATCATTTCTCTAAAATCCATTATCACGATTTATATAACAGTAAAAAATGGCGTCAAGTAGGCTGACAACTGTATTTCTTACAGACTGGTGATGATTGACAGGACTTTAAGCACTCCCTTAATTTTATTCTCAAAATTGACTTCTTAAATCCGAACGATGTTCAATGCACCGATACAACTGCTTATGAAATACAAAGTCTATCTACTTGACAGATTATGATCCTTATTCAGTTGGAATGCAGCACTAGTAGTTTAATGCTCAATTACTAATAGCCATTCGTATACATCCGTTAATCCTATTGTGGTATAAAGACGATAAAATGATGAATAACATACGCAGACATATTTAGTAGATAGGACAACAAATAGACAATTAAAGTTGCAGAATCCATCCTGATTTGAAAGCGTACACTTTTTCAATTACCGCTACCTTAATATGATCAATTTATGCATCAGAATTTATTCAGTATTCCTTGAGTGACATCTCACCGATTGGCGAGTAACTATTGGAATCATGAGCAAAATTCGACATCGATATACGTTTTTGGATGTCACGTGATGTGTACATAACTAAAAACCGTGGATCATTTCCATGTTAGTTATCTGTATGGTGATCATTGGCTCGTCTATAAGGCTGAACATAGTACTAGAAATTTTATGAAATATACACACGCTAAGAGCGAACACGCTTTGTGAGATTTGCAAATCGGTTCAGTGGCGGTGGAGTTAGAAGGAAAACTAAGAATTTCAGAATAACCCCAAACTTCATTTTTCGATGTATTCGGATTTTCTCATCATTTAGGGAGACAAATAATTTTTGTACCGATCAAAAATCCCAAACTATATTTTCGGCAAATTTGAATTCACAGCATAGTAAAAAATGTATGGGGGCTAAAAGACGTTTAAATAAGACATGTCTCATAATTCACCTACCATGTATAATGACTCAAAGAATCAGTTCATGTACTTGATTGGACATTAGGCACCACATGAAAATGGAGACTGGGGGCAAAACGGGTATATCAATCATAAGATAGATATACATGCGCATATACATAAAAAAATATTACCTTTCTTCATCTTCTTAAGTTCGGCTTCTTGTTGATCGACGGCAGCTCCAAGAAGGGTGAATATGATGCCTGCTTGCGAGTTGACACCCACTGCAGTGACAAGCATCTTACCCGACCCTTCCATTACGTGTGTGCCGGATAAAACCATTGGATCAAACTTCTCGCCTTTTTTCACATGATCTGATTCACCTGTTAGGGAGGATTCGTCCACCTACAAGCACATCTCTCATATAAAAGATGCTTCAGAAGATATGCGCATACTAATACATTCGTTACCATTCCAGAATCATAGAAAGTGTAAATCGGAGTAAATGACAACACTGTCTCTCACGGTGGTTTTGTCTAGCATCCATGCTTTTACACATTTACACATTCTAAGATGCTTAGTTTTGTAATATTTACATTGATATACTGTATAAAACATAAAATGATTAGACAACATACAGATTACTAAATATATCACTCAACATTTTTTTTTTTTAAACTCTTCATAGAAACAATGGTGGAAACCTGTCGTATTTTCGCGCGCAGTACATTGAAATTAAAATATACTTACTTTCAAGTCATTCGATTGTATAAGGATGCCATCAGCCGGTAAAAGATCACCATATTTTATTTGGCATATATCACCTACAACTATATCACTGACAGGGATCTGTTTAACTTCACCTTGTCTTATTACGGAAAATTTGTGTTCGCCTTCTATCTTACTCTGTAACCCTCTAAATTGTCTCTCTTTTGAATAATCATTGAAGGCTGTTACAAGTACTACAACTATAACTGAAAGTAGAATAGCCATAGCTTCTATCCACCCACTAGATTCTTCACTTTCATCCACATTTGCGTCTAAAATATAAGTATTCCTCTTAGTTTCTCAGACACAAATATTTTTCTGTGATGTTTCAATTACCAAGAAGGACATTCTTTGGTTTCCAAACTCTATTGAACATGTAACGGTTTGGATGAATGACTGAGCTAAGGGCATTTGGGCCACCCACCTAGCACAGAATGTCCTTAAGCCCCATATTCTTATTATCCTGGAGGCCCAATATGTAAGGCACACTATGGTACTAAAGTAATCCAAACACATGCCATTATATAAATAATGCATAGAGGATGACTTCTCTTCTATTTAACAATCAAATAGGTGGCCAGATAACAGTCTCACAATCAACATTACATTGTTTCTGCCCAGAGACAAAAACGTCCAATGGAACTAGGCCGTGGAATGACCTATCTGCCAGAAATGACCAAGGATGGTGCAACATTTCTGTATATGTGTTGTTTCAAAATTCATTTCCCTCTTATCCACCTATTTTTGCTAGGGGGCACGTGACTCTTGTGAGTCTACCATATCAGTGCCATATGTATATCCCTTCATTGTAAAAAAAGGACTAAAATCATGTTGTAGGCACTTAGCTCTGTGACTACCACCTCATTGATGCTAAAGATTATTATCTTCCTAGTCCTGTTCCAATTCTGAGTATGCAACACACAAAACAGATCTATAAGGGCTTAAACACATTAATCTATGCACATAATACAAAACAAAGTTGCGTTTACAATATCAATTATTCCAAAATGTCCTCCTCACCACCATGGTCATATGGAGGAGGTGCAAATCCTGTTATTTGCCAAATGGAGCGCAGTACATTCATTAAAGCCATTACTAATAAAAAAGCAGAGGTTGGTTGACCTCAGTTCACTCATATTCAACCAAACCACAGATTTTCCAAGACACATATTAATAATCACATTATGTAAAATAATACTGTTTATATAAATATATGAAGATCTCATACTGTTACCTTATACTTTGTTTAATACACTCAGAATTTTTGAACATACTTTCTAATCTTTAAAATAAACTTGTTTGATAACAACTCAATAATAGGAATAAACTATCTAGCAGTAGCAATATGAGATCTGTATAAATGCAATGTTTTCTAAGATCAGAGCTGAAATCTAAGAATGTCCTTCCAGGAAAAAAATAAAATATGGAATAAAATTGAGAAATTGACACTCACCAGTCTCATCTTTTGGTTGATACAAGGCAAGAGCTAAAGACACTATGGCAGCTACTTCTAAGATTATGAGGGTTGCATCTTGTAGCGCTTCCCATACTAATATAAGAAAGGTCTTTGGTGGTTTAGGTGGGATTGAGTTCGATCCAAATGTTTCTCTCCTATGTGCAATGTCAACTTCTGATCCGCTAAGTCCTGAAACAAAAAATGGTGTCAACTACATGCTCAATAAAATAAAATATGCCTCTTTGGCATGCAATATCCTAGCATAGATTGTAAACAAGGCGCTGCATTGGATGCTTTTGCATATCTCATTATCACAGGTAGCAATATATTCTTTTCCTCAATCTGGATTGAATGATAATGAATTTGTATACAAATATTCCATTAAAGTGGCAAGGCATTTAGATCCATGTTAAAACATTATTGATAACCTATAAATACATCATTTCTTCATTTTAAATTTTAACTTGAACATTTGATTTTTAAACTTGATGGATGCTGCAGAAGCTGCTAAAATGTTAATACACCTTTCCTTTGACTGCATGTGGTGTTAATTATTGGCTAGATTGAGTGTAATGAACTATAGCAATAGATTTATGGAGTTACAACCCACAACCTAATGCCTGAGCGAGCCTGTCAAATGTAACCTTAATATAATGTTTCTAGGCCCCTTGCTATGTTCAAATTGGAGATAGTCATGCTTAATGATAGAAGCATTGAGGACTTACCTTCACTAGGCGATGTGTATAGTTTTTTACATATCTCTTGTACCCCTCCTAGTTCGTTAATTTTTGCTATTCCTTCGGGGCCCCTATGATCCATAAGGTCACGTAGCTGTTTCAAGGTAATTCCATATTGTGCGGGACGGCCTTCTATCGTAGCCATATTCTGATGCGATTTCTGTAAAAGAAAAATTAAGAATAAATATTCCACATTTGTGACATTAACCTCTACAACGTCAGACAGCTCTGACAACACCCGCGGATATTTGAGTGATTCATAGCGCTTACTAATATTAGGTTATGCCGGTAACTTGGAAAATATTTAATAAATACTCACAAGATTGTTGCATTACATGTTTAAGTAAGGATTTTCCCGACAAAAGTATCAAAAGTATTAAATTAATATTTCCAAACAAATCTACAATGTTGCCAAGCCATACGAGAAAAGTCCCTAGCCCGAGGAGCAAAAAAACATCATTTGACCTACTTTACAGTTCTTCGCGAATTTCTGGGCAAATTTGCGTTCAAGTTAGTGAGAATAATTTTATACAAAAGTAAAAACTAACATTTAGATGTGCATACCTTTCAGGCCAACATGACACCGAATTCAACTGACTTGTCAACAAGTTCAGTAACGCTAGGCAACTAAAAATGTCATAGCTAACTTGAAATTGGCAGATCTATCAAATTGTATCTCATGCATTAACATGGCCAAATAAGCTCAATAAACAAATTCTCTGATGAATATTCTTACCTATTACCGAAATTTTCGATACCTGATCATTAAAATTAACCAGTCTTTTTTTCCCGCAAGGGTGTTTCCTGTGAGTGATCTCGTTACAAAAATATGGAAATCAGGCAACAAACAACAGTTCACAAGATTCTATTTTTGAATTATGATGCATAGTTCACCAACGAAATTGTTCCTAGGTAATGACACTACAACATAACCTCGGTTCCGGATATTCTTGGGATGTATTAAAAGACGGATGTTCGTACGGACACGACAACTAATAAATAAACGCGAACGTAACAAACACGTGAAACATTGAAATGACAAGATTACAACAGTTAAAAATTGATCAAAAAAAGGTAAAACGTAACACGGGACGAAGTAGAAAGTGCTACTTCTACTCCCTACCTCCGTCCCTCTCCCTCGGTCGATAAGAGAGTGAGTGAAGTGAGTGAGGTAGTAAACAGTAAACAACTGTTAGCCCAGTAACATTAGGTACTGGTACGTGAATTGAGTGATTGAGTCAGTTTCAGTAGTAATTTATGTAGCGCGGTAGGGTAGTGGTTGAGACGCTGCGAGTCTAGTAATCAGCCGCTGTGAGCTGCGCAGGTTCGAATTCCGCCCCAAGATAATGTTTCTCTTGGCTATGGACGTGATTGTCAGTAGGTGGTAGACAGTCTTAGTAGATAGGACTTGTCTAACCCTATAGCCCCCCGGTACTCACGAGCCTTAGGTCTTCGTGGTCGTTCGGGTATAAAAAATGCTCGACACTATATCCACCAGCATCTATGACCTAAAATAGTGTCTAAAGAATAGTCTTAAACTTGTAGAGTTAGAGGACAACAGCAATACGACTTAAACGCAAAACTGATGAATGGTACCTCTAATAAACTGAATGTCATCAAGTTTGGGAATCTGTATAATACCCTAATCTTCGTATAATGTAGATACTAGCAATAATAGCGATAATAAAATTTTATCTTGTGGTATAAGCTATAAAGGTATCGTTCAAAAATATCTTTTTGAGCTTCCACTCAAACAAAATACTAATCTACATAGTTGCCAGCACACATTTTTGAGTGACTCAATTAAACATTTTACATATTACATCTCTAGTATATAGTATATGCGTATGGGCGTTTTTTACAACGTAGAGTAAACGTGGATATCCATGATATACTATATATGGATATAAATTGATTGTTAACAAAATGCAATGGATAATATGAATATTTCAGGCTTCGTGGCTATTACATGGATATTAGCCGAACATTTGAATATCTGGTCGATATCTATGGGATATCCATTGAGTGTGAAATTCTGTGGATTTTTAGGATTTTCTCTTGAAAAAATATGTTGCCTCCAGCTTTTGAAAAAGTGTTCGGGGGCAGGTACACTGTCACCAATAACCATCCCTTGCCGATGATCAGCCCCCTTGAGAATAGTTCCTGTGGGCGCCATGTTTATAATGCTAAAAAAGTCAGATTTTGAAGCAAAATGGAAAAACATAAAAATCCATGGCTCTTTATTTTCAATTGAAGACAGTTTTTAGATATATCTTAAATTCTTCGATTATACCTGTTTCAAATACTTCGATACATGCTATGAATAATTTTATTGCTTCGATAGATGTATCAACAGTGGAACGAATATTTATGCATGCACTTCGACACGGATCCGTTCATTAATCGGAACATACCACCTGATTTTGATTATCTAAATTTGGCACACTATTTGTGTTATTGTATGGTTTTCAGTACCAGTCTTTGGTTCGATCGGTTGTATCAGTTCTTTTAATAGTGCGTCTACTTTCATTTGTCTGACTATTTTGAGCGAAAGAATGTCGCATGTTTACGAAAACAATGAACTAGTGGACATATGCTAACATACGGAGAGTGCCAACAAAATGCAGCATGCAAGATGTATGCGAAAAGATTTCCTAGAAGAGTTGAATTTGCCGAGTGGCTTTCAAAACAGTTCGACAGAAATAAATATTTTACGAAATTAATTTTGGGCACAGTCGAGGCCACATTCACACGAAATGGAGTGCACAAATTCCACAACAATCATGTGTAGGTAGCATGCTGTAAAAAGAACTCATTTTCAATATAGATTTTCATTAAATGTTTGGGCTGATCTGGCATGCTTATTGTACCCTACCTTTTTCCACCTCGACTGACCGGTGAAATTTATTTAGATTCTCTTCGACACAATCTGTCACAATTATTAGAATATGTTCCTCTAAATGTGAACAGAATATATGTGGTTCCTACATGATGGGGATCACCTCACTTTAGACGAGAAGTTCATGAACATCTGAATAATGAGTTTCCAAATAGAATGGATAGGGCGTAATGGACCCATTTCTTGGCCTGCTCGCTACCCGGATTTAATGGCTTGCGATTTTTCTCAGTGGGGCTATTCGAAAGAGTTGGTGTATCATGATGGAGCAGTAAATACTCTGGAAGAACTCCAACAGCGCACTGAAAATGCTTGTGATTTAATTCGTGGACACTAGGATTTCGTTTTCGAAGCCTGTAAAGAGTCGTGGATTCGCCGATTTTGCGTTAGTCGAACAAATGGGGACAATTTTGCACAGTTTTTGTAAAAACGGTATCTATTCAACTTGATAATGATTTCTTTAAATAAGTTTCAATGTAAACTAACTCTTTTATTATGCGACATTTATATAGGTGATTTTTGGTATATCAACTTCTTGTGACGAGTTCTAGAAGCTGTTAAAATAAATGACTCAACTTTGAAAACAACCTGTACAATTCAGAAAGTACTACTCGGGTTTTGACGAATTTTGACATAAGGTTACTACCATATACCAAACACGAAAAGCTTTGTAGGTTTGGAAAATCAATACATTGGTGGTGGGAGTACTTTATGAATTTCCACAAAATTGTGTGATGTTATCCGAGATACTGATAATTTTTGGAGGGTTAAAATTTTTTTAAAAATTCCAAAGTTTTTTTCGTCATTTTTCAGCTCTCTGATCACGTCTGGGTATTCAACAATTTTTCTAAAAGGTCAAAATGTTTTAACAGTATCGTGACCAATGTTACCAGCCTAACAGTATACAGTATGACTACATCCTTATGGCATAGATTATATCAGGATTATGAGTAAACGAGATATTTATAATACATTTATCAGGACATGAAAATGACGCGGATTCCTCTCACGTAAGAGATTAATGGTTGTTTTAAGGATTTTTGAAAGCTCTACAATAAAGCATGGGGATACAACTATAGAATTACACCGGTGATAAAATGATAATTATACTATTGTGTAAATAGTAACATAATCTTTCCAACAGTCTAATTGTGTATTCAACTCCCATCAATAAAATGTGTTGACGCAAACTGCATCTCCAGAGTGGTATATTTTAAGAACACTTCAGAAAAGATTTTTATCTTTAAAAGCTTATTATCACTACGAACGTCACTCGTCTTCTATATATTATCTGCTTACCAAAAATAGTATCTCCCGCGTAATGGTAAAAATCTGTTCAAAATTTCGAAAAGTCATAAGCAATATGTAAACGTCTGATTCAAGGTGTTTTGAGCTCCGTAAAAACATAATATTTTAGTTTCGCAATTTTAGAATCTAAATTTGTGGAGTATCTAGAATGAAGAAATTGGTCGAAAAACGATGATTTGGGTTTTTATCATTCCTTCTCGTCCTAAAAAAATATACGAAGCAATAACGAAGCTGGGGACGTTACGGAATTTTTGAATTTATGTTTTCTACAGGGTCACGAGAGTAATTTTCTTTGGTTCCCGATTCTGGTTCCCATGTGTTTGTGCTGAGGAAGCTCCTATAAATATCAACTAAAATGATATATTTCTACAATTGAAAAAAAAGAATGGCGTCAGGTAGGTTTACTTTGCACTTCCCACGCAACGCCGAAATCAGTTCATAAAGGATTTTAATAAGCACGAACCAGACCTTATGACAAAAAAGTCAGTCAAACAGGTCTATACAATTAGTCCATAGACACTATTTCCCTGCTCTACCGGTAGTGCATCTGAAAAGGTCGCCTCTCCCCGATACTTAACTTGTTCACACGTGGCAGCACGGTCAGAGCATAGGAAACACTATGCTGTGAAACCATACCAGAACAACAGAACACTACACAGCCGCGGCCGGTAGGTACGCGAACGGTCTGTCAAGAATATTTTTATTATATAAGTTTTGAGGGCTAACGAAGTTTGAGCGATTTTTATTTTTCACTGGACCGGTTTTCAAAAACTAAGAAGCTTTTGCGTCCTTGGCATAGTAGCAACATTTTGTAAAAATTTCATAGAAATCCAAGCGGTACATGTCATTGTTATAGGCGGTTATGAGATTAGCGGACAGACCGACAGACAGACAGACGGATTTGAGTGATATGGATTTTCGTGATGTACATACTTTTTAACATCATCTCATTTTCGAAAAATTTCGCGATAACAATATTTCGCCACCAGTAGGCGTGGGAAGTAAGATACATCGGTGTTGACCAAATGTTTATCAGCGGAATATTTATCTAAATTTTAATGGCTACTGGACGAAGTAAGATGTGCTATCCGCTAAAGGTTATATTTATATAATGTTCAAATAATCCAAATGAATGAGTCATCTGATAGTAAAACTGAATGCAATAATATAATTAGATCATTTGTTTACACACACAACTGATGACAAATATCACTATTATTTACATGCCATTTGAAAGTAATCGCTGTTTGACTTAGTTTTAGAGACGTCAATAATGATTAGGCAGTCATGATTTTTAGTACCACTATACGCGCTAATTCCCAAATTTCTTTGCAAAACCCAAGATTAGCCTTAGATGCTGTATATATTATATATTATACCTTCCAAGACACTAGATAGCCTGCCACAGGGACCAAAAATGTGAGCGAAGGACGCCGAATCGCCACATAGCCCACAAAGCGAATTAATGACAACGCCCTTTATCAGGAGGTGACATTTAATGTGCTCAGTTAAGAGTTCAACCAACAATCGCAAATTATTCCTAACCAAAGATAGATAAAAATATCCTTCTCTGGGTATAGGGTCCATGATGTCTGTAGGAGAACGTCGGGAGACATTTCTGCACATTAGAGGGTGTTGATTTCCAATTTGATTGCGATTCAAGGCCGAACCATTCACTATACCTTGTTCTTGTTAAATTAGCTGCCATCTTATTACAACTTTAACGATTTTTGTGTTTTCGTCTGACGAAAAGACCGTTAACTATGGACAACTGTGGCTGTCTTTTGGTCGGGCCGACGAAAACTCACGTTTAGTTTATTCAATGGCAGGTAGTTTACAGAATCATCAGCCATCTAGCGGTCACAAGGTGACAGGACTATTAAACGTGAACTGAGATCCCTAATAGTTCCAACTAATAGCAGCTATGCGCTTTCCGCAGTGGTCGATTCTGGTGTGATAGATGGCGCTGTCTTATTTCGATAGACCCTACCTCTTGAATTGAGGACAGTTACGATGCTTTCGTTCAT